TATTAAGTGTTCAGACATTCAAAAAGGTTATGAATATATTATATATAAAATGTTATATACATTATTATTTATATTATTGGTACTAGAATATTATTACTTTTTTGAGATGTTGATCATGGTTAGTGTAAAAATATAAATTACACTTAAGTAAACGGGGGCTGTGAAGAAAATTAACCGATAGTGTTATACAGTTCATTAGTACATAATATAGTCAGAGTTGTCTATCATAAAGCACTATTAATTGTATGCGTATATTAAATATGCATTTATTATATTGGTATGATTGGTAGTAATTTGTTTTGAATTTAGCAATATAACTTCAGTTATATTTATACGAGATAAATATTTCAATTTTAATGACATTGAACATAAACAATAACGTATAATGATTTATTTCCATATGACCATATATAAAAAAAATAATGAATTAATAAATAATTAATGAATTGTATATGTAAGATTGTTTATTTAAGTTCAATAAGCTGACATGTATGGCGTAGAGCCTAAGAGAATAATAATGAATAATAAATTAACAATCTTATATAATGCTTACCTGAAACTACCTAAACACATAAATAATACATAAGTATATAGTTTAATATGTTATTACTTTTTGTCTTACCAGTTACTATGTTAAGACTCATAAAACATAATCGACATAATCTAAATACCACATTACCACTGCCTAATAAATATACTAAGTAAAGTAGTACACAATATGATTGGAAATTTATGTCATTATATTATATTCAGTTGCAAGGCCACATCCAGAAATTTTTTCGGAGGTGGGTCCATAACATGTATATTGTAATTTTATTGAATTTATATGTTTTGATATTTGGTTGAAAATAAGATATGTTGAAAACATTTCGGCCTTCGGGGGGTAACCCCCCCCCCAGGTACGGCAATGGTCAGTTGTGAAATTGTATTTGTATATATTATAAATATTAAATATTTTTAAATTCAGCGGCCTGCGATAATGTTAATTGTTGTTTATTCCAAGCCAAACTGATATGATATTTTCATCCATGAAAGTGATATAAACCGTTTTTCTAGTGATATAAACCGTTTTTTTTTCTAGTGATATAAACCGTTTTTATTTACTGTCTGGTACATCGGGCTATACTACGCAATGTTAGAACGCGGTGTACGAGAGTTCTTATCTAACATACGAAAAAGTGAACTACTACTAACGCTCCCGGTGGTTGTTAATTGGAACCACGGCTTTAGATAGAAATATCTTTATAAACTCTTTTTGGCGTTCCTAAAGAGGATGAAATAAAAAATCTTTGGGAGAATGCTCTAGGTATTAAATTAAAAAAAAGTTTTAGAGTTTGCGCCTCACATTTTAAAGAATGTGATATTATTAGCACATGGGAGTCTGGTGAAGGACTTAATAAGTACACCGTAAGTATACTTCTTTATTGAGCTACTTATGAAGATTTTTTCAAAAATGAAAATCTGCATTTGAAATGGGGATGTGCCGAACATAGAATTGAAATATTCTCTAATATTTTTGTTTTATTCATAACTATGCGGATGAGGCAGCATAGCTACTCTAAAAATATTGAGTGTAAAAAATTAAATCGTTCAAAAAAAAAATTGTCAAAATTAGTTACTACTTAAATTAACCTTTTTAAAATTAAGTGTTAATACTTATGGATTAAGAAATAAATTAAACAAAAAAATATATTTAGTCTTGAATTTATATTATATTAATTTAATATGTTTTTCTTTTTGCTTGTTAGAGAATTTGGAATATTATAACTATACCAGTAAAATCCAAAAAAAGTATAATATTACAGTATATATATATACCTATATTTAGAATAAAAAATATTAATTTTTACAATAGGCACTACGCACAAATTATGTGGATTTAAAAAAAAATTTGAGACGGGGTTATTGTGTATTGTGAAGTGACCATGCATAAGATTGATGGATCTTCATAGCAGTTATTTTGTTGATGTTTTTTGTTAATTCACACTTAATTTTAATAGTTTGATATTTGTAATTAAAAATGTTGACATACCTAGTGGATAGCCTATTCTTTGTATTTTTAATTTCATAATTTGATGAGTTTGAACCTCTAATGGATTATCGGATTATACTAATTAGTACTTTTTGAATACAACAATATAAAATAAGATTACAATTTTGATGATGTATATGTAAGCAACTAGATAGCAGTGTAACGTAACTTTTAACAGATATCTGATAAGAACAATTGGTGATCACAAAATAATGACTCGTTGTGCAACCATTCTATCTAAAGCCGTGTCTTAAATCGTGGTTATCACAGATTTCTGATTAACTTCATGTTATCTATTTGAAAAACCGGGATTGCAGCATAGATATTAAAGAAATGGATTGCAGTATTGCACATAGAGTCATAGACCTTATAACTTATAACTTGTGTAGGTATAATTTGTTATGTAACGCACTTGTAAGACGGATACAACCATAGACATATATAAACAATTATATATGTCTATGGATACAACACATGCGACTATGCGAGTATCACGTCCTCCATGGCTCCATAGAACAATTTTATCATTTTTACGTATATTGTCAATATTTGAAATTTTGAACTTTAAATGCTTATAAAAAAAAATTGTATTTTTAATATTTTTCAACTGCTATTGTAATTTGTAACAATATATCAGGAGCCTTGCATTAAATTTTCACGCTGCTTTAACCAACAAATAAAATTTCATTGATATTTGTAGAAAAAAAAACTAAAATAAATGGAAACTAAAAATGTCCGTAAACAGCTCAAAATATTTTGAAAATGTTATGGTGTATAGAAAATGCCAATATAAACATTCAGTCATAATGCCATCTCCATGTACCTGCAATAATTTGTTTAAGAGTTACACCAAAAACCAAAATCAATTTTTTCCAAAACAGATTTTGTCGTTTAATACGGTCGTTCATTTCTCGGTCTCTAGCTCCCTGGGTCAGGGTTGGTTCTTTGTAATCCAATTGCTATTACAAATAGGTTATCATAAGAATTAATAATTATAGCTCATAAAGTCATATAAGTGAATATATTATTTCCTGTTATAGAATTAAAATCTCACATATAATAGTAATATTAAGTATGTATCTAAAATTATTATAATCATTATCTCAAGTCTCGCGAGATGTTGTATTATACGGTAGTTCGCTTGTGCATGTCATAATTATATGATGACACCACTTTCTAACCATACTACTGAAGCAGAAGTACAATATCAAGTAAGAAAACCATATGATTATTTCATAAAACAACTACAATATGTGTTGCTCTGTACAAAGCAATAACTGCAGTACTTGCAAGCATTCGAATACTTGTATTTATATCCTTTTTTTTTGTATTTCAATTTTTTGACCAATTTTTTTTTTCATCAGTGACTATCATTATAGAAGCGTTAGCAAGGGGGGGAGGTGACAATTGCTGCGGTGAGGGCCGGAAGTACCGGTTGTCAGTTGATCTGTCCATCATGGTGGGAATGGCAATGGCAGGTGGACCATTTCATTGAGTATATAAATTTATATAAAATGTCAGTGGCGGCTTGTGCCTAGGTGTGCGCACACCACATAAATTAATTAGATATAATAGTGAAGATGTATAATAATAATGTACAATAATAAATTAATTTTAATACAATATCTGTTAAACTGTATTTATTATATAAAAAAATTAAATTTTAAAAACAAACAAACGACAATTATTATTATTTTCCTAAAATGTAATCGAGTTATGCAACAAATACTCATCAACTGGTGTGCAGCTCAGTCTGAACACCGTCTGTCCGTGTAAAATACGTTGGTTGTCGACTAGAGAATCGGCGATTATATGTGACTTTGGTGTGCAGCTCCCACTGCACACTCGTCAGGAGGTCGCACACACGGAAAAAGATATCAACGCAGCACATGCAGCTCTGCACTGGCTTTAATTTGTAAACTCCACCGTTTTTCTATTTTAATATTATTAGTTATGGCATGTTGTCTGTTGCGACAATAAATAAAATATGCTATACCTAACTAATATGTAATATTATTTTCTAAAACTGTATAATCTCAAAATTAAAATTCTAATAAATATTTTACTAATTACATTTATACTTAAAACAGACTAATTATTTTTTAAATAAATTTTTGCAATAATTGCACACCATCTACTTTGAACACCACGAGCCGCCACTGTAAAATGTTATTGCATTCAAAGATAATTCTAAGCATATTCTAAGCCTTAATAATTAATATTCAGACTTGACCTGTTGACTCATATTACTCTAAATTTCTGCAGAATATTATAATAAAATATGCTTAAAACAAATAAACGCTGTGCTTTAACCGAAATATAAGGTATAATATTAAAAAGGTACATAAAAAAAATTGCTATTCATGAAATTATATGTACACACTAATTATTACTTTTAAAACATTTTTTGAATTTCAAACTTTTTACAATAGATCATTTTGTATTTATTAATGCAAGCTAGATTGATTTATTATTATATAAATATTTATCATGACAAACTTATAAAATAATTTTATTTACTGGAGTAAATATTTTAAATATTGCATTACTATGGACTTTAACTCATTTACGGTTCAGTTGTATCGAGATTCATCCAAAATTTACTGAACTTTCTTTTGGCACAAAACTATAGAATTTTATTTATTGCAGTTATAATAGAATAAAAAAAAGCCACATAATATTTTCAAATTTGGTCAAAAAGAATATAATTTTAAAATGCCAAAAAATCCAGATGTCCTAATTCCTAACATAAATTTAGATTGTTCTCTAACATAAGTATACAACATGAATTGGAATTGCAAAAAGAATTACTATTTACAATTGTGATGAACAAATTACATCAATTTATTAATATATAATGTACAGCTAACAGCTGGTGAAAATTGTAATTGAAATTAAATCTTGTTTTTGTTAATCTAGTAATATTTAAGAATAATAAAAATGTGGATAAATTTTCCATTAATACATATTAACGTTTTCCATTAAAGCTGGTCAGTCTGAGTGGTGTTTTGACATTAGCTGCTGCCTGCTGTTGTATTTGATAAGCCAGGCCATGTATCTTAAAACCATAAAGTCTAGAAAAGAGTAAACAAAATATTATTATTCTACTTAATATTTTTTGAAAACTTAAACTAATTAAAACACTAATACTGAGTTGTATAAACAATCATTAGACATTTAATGAATAAATAATAAGTTAATGGTCTCTTTAACATAATTAGTTCATTGCATTTTAATGAATAAACTTTTTATGTGATCTGACCACGGACTAATTTATTATAATGGACTGGAATCAACAGGGTTGGCGGACAGCCACGAAAAATGTTCCTCACACTGGGGACCGAATATTTTTAGTGCTACCTTTGGTTTTATTTGGCTTCACATTTTGTATCTTAGTCCGTGTTCATACTGATGGCGTTGTAAACTCTTGATCTCCAAGGGACCGGGGGCACTTGCCTCGTGTACATACACTTGTTGCCTCTGATAAGCTCCTCATTTCCAGTCCATTTTATCTTAGTCCGTGGACCAGACTTTAAGAATTTAATTTACAATACTTAAACTACATAATACCATTGATTATACATATTATTACTATCTAGTATCTATAATCAATGTAAGTGTTATCACTTAGGTTTAAGAGACTTTAAAAATAATACTAGACCATTACTTTTTTTTTGTAGTTGATTTTAAATCATAATCAACAAATCTTAACAGTTCTATTTTTTTATTGGTTATTATTTATTTAGTTTAGCATATTTTAATATAGTATGCTCTCTATTTATAGCATAATAAGCCAGAAATAAATTCTAGAAAATGTTGAGAATAAAAATGAAAAATATGTTTTCAATATTTTGTTAAGTTTAGTAAAGAATATGCATATTTCTTGATTTTGGCATACATTTAATATTTCGTAAAAACAATTTGTTCAAATCTATAGTACTTTAATTGTTCAATAGTTTAGATATTTTCCACAGCCGAAAAATTGATTTGCGATGTTGTAAAATACAAGATGGGAGTTGGTTAGAATAATTAACTAATACTCCAGGGAGCCACCACTGCTTGAGTTCACTTTTAAATTAAATATAGGTTAAGATTATTATTATTTTCTTCATTGAAAAAAAAAATACTCGGCTTTACTATGCTGAATAACTCATACAAAGACCAATAGATTGGACCATTTGATTAATAGCTTTTTGTTTTCATACATCATAGCATCATACATAAAAAGCTGGGTAAGTGGATGTCACTCTGCTGTACTGTAGGTTACAAGTGGGTCACTCTATACTGCCGTCATAAGCAAAAACGCCGTAAGCCCCAAAAAAATAAAAAATGATGTTATAAAAAAAAATTATTGTGAAATTCAGCTTGTGTAGACGAATATGCCGTTTGTCTGAAATATTACTCCAAACATATAATACAATAAATAATCAAATAACTTAAACGCCGTGATCTTATGAAAAAACAAAATACAAAAACGAGTTTTTCTCAAAACCGTTCTCCGGTGACTTACGGCGTTTTCGCTTATGACGGCAGTATAATAGATGGTATTAAATTTGAATTCAATGATATAATATCATTGTATAAGAAAAACGATTCTGAGCGGAGACGTTATGTCAGTCTAGGTATAAGACATATTATATACTTATCTATGGTATTAAATTATATGGAATTTTTTTTTTTTTTTTTTTTATTGAACAAACATAATATATTTACAATCTGTATTTACATGTGATACAATAAGTAAATGTGATGACGATTTAGTTTACAGGAGGGGGAAGTCACCCAGTGGCGGCACCCCGTCACATATGGAATTTATGAATAAATTATTCATTGCCCCTTAAAATATGCACAGTCTTATCATTGAGCATACTTCTTATTCCTTATACTATAGTAGATTGTATGGATAGGCCATAATATTTTGATTTTTCAGTTTCATATATCCCCGAATAATATTTTTAAATTACAACAAAAAACCAAGATCGTTAATATGTAATTTTGTCCAAATTTGAATTTAAAATGTCTGTAAAAAGTAACTGTGTTCATATATTTTTTAGATTTTTTGGTTACAGTATGAACTATTTATGAGAACCTCTGTTTTAAATTTGCAATCCTTAGCTATAAAAACTGAACATTTTATAATTTATTTATTACAATGATTGATAATTTTCGAGATTTTGATAATTTTGTCAAAATTCGATCTTTAAATGCTTATAAAAAAAAAATTGTGCCTATGTATTTTTAATATTTTTCTATTGCTATTGTAACAATATATCAGGAGCCTTGTACTAAATTTTTACACTTTTTGGCCCAACAGATAAAAATTTATTGATATTTATAGAAACACACATTAACTTTTAATGCTTATAAAAAGAAAATTGTGACTAAGGATTTTTAATATTTTTCATCAGCCTTTGAAACAATATACAAGGAGCCTTCTATTAAATTTTCAAGCTTTCGAAACCAACAAATAAAATTTTATTGATATTTTTAGAATAAAAACTAAAAAAAAAAATGGAAAATGAAAACGTCCCTAAACAGTTCAAAACAAATCATAATATTTTAAAAATTTTAAAAACACACATCATTGTAAAATCAATACATTCATCGCTCCACTCAGAATCTAAAATGTTAGTAGTATAAGTGTAGTATTAATGGTGTTATACAAATGTTATAAGAAATATAATATTATCTATATGTACCTTAAGAAATTCTACTAAAATTTGTTTATAGAAATTTAATTAATAATCACACATACCTAGGCACAAATTGATTGCTAGGCCTTGGTGGTCTGTATTCTGGATGTACCATAAACAACATATGTGGAAAACCTGTACCAAAATAAGCACCATCAGTGTGATGATGACGAGATGATTTTGGTGTATACACATCCATACATTTAGGACAGTAAAGCTTAACCATTGCTTCTCCTGGAACATCTGACAAACCTGTGCAAATATTTAAGTTATTATGTATTAATAAAAATATTAAAACACTAATTATTCAAAAACAAAATTTGGTTTTTTAATTGTTATTTAACATTTTGTACGAAAAACTGATTAATTTCTTTAATATACTAAATGGTGTTAAAATATTGCATTGTATATTATTTGATTAATTAACTAAGAATTAATTATATAAACATTCTAATCCAATTATTTCAGATATTAGAACATATTTAAATAAAATGCAATAACTATTACAATTATGTATACAAATTATATAATAGAGTATGACTAGGGTTGGGATACGTCCAGTTTCAATTTTTTAGAGGGACCCGCAAATCACGATTTCCGTGCGTTTTTTTAAAATGTTGTCCCGTGTCCCGTCTTACAAGCCAGAGGGACAAGAAAGTCACATTTCAAAAAATATTATGTCCCGAGAGTTAAAAAAAAAAATCCCAACAGATATGACTAATTAGTAATTTGTATTCATTGCATAATAGCTCAGAACATTGTTTTATGGTTGATTAACTACATTTATAAAGTATTCTACTTTTTAGTTAATTAAAGGATACTTCAACTTTTAAATAATAATTTTAGATTAATCATATATTTTGAATCATTATTTTTTGGTCATTGAATTAAACACAGCTCTAAAGATTAATTACTACTTTCATAGTTAAATTAAACACCGCAGTTTAATAACATATGTATATTGTATATATATATATTGATATTTACCTATTGGGAGCATTGGTGAATTTTCACAATATACTCGCGGGCAGTGTCCAAAATCACCAGTTTGATATTTCTCGATCATTTGAGCAATACCACGGTTTGTCAAAATGTAACGAGCATGTATCAAACCATATAACATCTCAGCAGCCTGTTCAATTAAGTCTGAATGATTTGGGTTGTCATCCAAATCATCATCTAAAAAAAAAATTGAATTGAATTAAGAGGAAAAATTTTATGTAATTTTTGATTACATAATATTTCAATATTATTGTTTAAATTATATAGTAGTTTAAAATTCATTAGTATTTAAATAAAACACATTATTAGCAACAAAACAAAAGATTTTTAGTAGTTTTTTAGAGGCACTAATATTACCTGAATATTGTATGCATTTAATGCACCTTTACATCAACCAAAAAATACTAAAACCTGAGAAATTGTAACACTTGCATCTTTAACTAAACCTTAACAATTTATAGATAAACTATTTTATACTTATTGCACAAGCTGCATACAAAAAAAAAAATAATTGAATAGCCCACTAAAATATAATAAGTCATTTAAGGGCTATTAATTAATAATTAAGGGACCATTAGCCATCAATATATTACATTTTTAATGACTGCTTATGCCAAGTGGCATTAATACCACAATTTTAAAGCTTTATTAAAATTGTTTTCAAGTTTAAATAAGTAATAATATAAAACTGAATTATGCCAAAAATAGAGGTTTTCAAAATAGATACTTATATTTTCCTTCATCTGTCATCAAGTTGCAAGACACAATAAATGCTTAAATATTCAACTATATGAGTAATTTCTACAAAAAAATTGGATATAGTTGGTATTTATTTTAAGCGACTTATTAGAGAGGGTAAACCTAAATAAAATATTCCATAGTTTATAAAAAGAAATGTATGTAATATCATACTTTACACACAAACATGTTTAAAGTAAAATATGGTAAAATCATAGACAAAATTGTAAAAAAAAATAGTATCAAAAATGTTTATACCTAAATGAAGGTGTTTTTTTAATTAATTATCGCAGTGTTTCTCAATCTGGGGGTCGCAAACTTCTAGATAAGGAGTCACATCGGTTAGAAATAATTAAACACTGATTTGGAAAAACAACCTTTTATTTACATTCAAAATTAAATTATTATAATACTAATAGTACTAACTGTATGAAATCGAATTGATTTTGATAAATTTAGGTTGTGCCAGGTCACCATTGTAATGCAAAACATAATAAGTCCATTTGAACCATGCAAAAGTCACTAAGTCCAACTTAATAATTTGTACTTTAAGTATAAAAAGTAATTCTTCCACATTGTGATATTATTTATAACCATTCATAAATAACTACTTTGCATAAAATAAAGTCAATTAAAACAAGCAAAAACAAAATTTGGTTACATTTGGAATACGTTTAAAGTTTGAAAAAATTACCAAAGCTGAATCTCAAATAAAAAGTGAGGTGACAGATTGTATTTTTCACCTATTTCGGGGGTAGCGACGTTAAAATAGTTAAAAAACACTTAATTATGGTATTGAATTTTTAGTTTTTATTTTCACACATAAAATAGATATTTATGGATAATGTACCTATATTTTTATTTTTTATTTTACTAGCTACTAGTATAAAACTGGATAATATAGTGGATTCGCAAAAACTTGGTACACTCTATAACTCAGTTACCTACATTACTCAGTACCCTATACATATTTTAAAATTCTGTCTGCAAAAGATTGATGATCATAAAAAAAATCTAGTTCCATGTCCCGCTGACAGAATTCAAAAATATTTATAGTTCACAGAATAATATTGTTAATACAGTGTGCCGTGTTTCACACAATATATTTAATATGCAGATTTTCTATATATGTATATGATTAGACATTATGTTGGAGGGCAAATTTGAGACTATTATATTACAATATGCGTAATTGATATGTTAATTAATTGCAAAATGCCAAATACTAAAATATACAAACCTGGTTCAAGATCCAAAATCATATCCAAAGCTTGCCTATAATGAGGCACTTGTTCATTTAGTCCTGTCAAATTGAATTTGTCTTGAATGTAATCTTCATCGACCTATTAGGAAATCACGATTAATATGACTGTACGATATTATTTCAGAAAAAAACATTTACTTCGCAGAAAAATTCATTTCCTCGTAGTCCGCAGAACCATGAGATCCAAGAAACTTCTTCGGAACTGCTCATCCTCCTGTCATAAAATTAAGAACCTTAAATACATATGTAAATATATTATATATAATATATGAAAAAATCAGACTGGAATTTGTGATCAAAATGATGCAATGCTATAGCAAATATGTAATACTGATAACGCATCTTAAGAGAAAACTAACATAATATTATTATTAATTATTATAATACATCACTATAACAATGATAGGTAGGTAGGTATGAAGGTATCAAACGAATTTCTAACACGTACAAAACATGCTGATGTATGGCCAAAAGACTTACCTTCTTTTACTTGGGCTAGCCACGCTTTTATGTTGGACACAATTTCTAAAATGGTTGACGTATTTATTTTATAAACAATTTTCAACACCACTCTGATTAAAACAGTGAGACCTATTAGTTGTTACTGAGTAGTGAGTAGATGTAGTGAGGCAGTAACTAGTAAGTATAAAGTAAATGGAAAATGGAATAGTGGAATTGGATAAGAAATTTTGTGTGGAAAAGAAATCACCGAACAGTAGAACAGTAAAAAAGTGTACACCAATAAAACTCAGTGTGACCAAGTGCTTATTGATTTTATTTTATTCCCTATAGCACGGACTATTCCCTATATCGCGTATTCAGCTGTTAACTACACTGTCAAAATGTATTTATTTGTTATCAGTAGGAAGTTTCCTGGTATCATTGCATTATTGTAATATGCATGATGCATCAAATCAAAATAAACATTCAACAAGTTGATTGTTGTCGTTAATCTGAAATCGTGTTGACATTTCCCTTAATCCTTTCGTTTTTTACTTTTACTTTTCCAACCAATTTATAGTATTATTATGTTCATTTGTTTATTTGCAACTGTGTCCTATTGATGTTGTCATGGCAAACGGTGGTTGGCGTGAATGCGCGAATTGGCTAACAAGGTGTGGCGCGATCAGATCTGATCATAAAGTCAATTGGCCAGAATCTACAATCGACGATTTAGCACATACACTTAGGGATGGAGTAATTTTATGCAATCTTTTAAACATTCTAGAGCCAGGATGTCTCGGAACAAAAGACATAAACCAAAAACCACAAATGGCTCAAGTAATGATTTATAAGTTTCATTATACATTGAAAACTTAATCAAATTTATTTATTAAATTACACATACATACCCCACGCTTATAAATTGATATTATGGTTGATATAGGAGTTTTAAACACTGATTAATACACCAATTTGTCACGATGTAAACTTATATAAATAGAGTTCAAAATCAAAAAACTTACAACTTTTAATTACCAATACAATTTTAAACTTAATTTTCTTTATTTGTACTATTAAATAACATCTCTTTACTTATTCATGTATATTGTATAGTCAAATAATTAATTTAAAAACAAATTAAATGTATTTATCATTTTTATATAACTGTTATTTATAATAATTAGGTATACTATACTAAGTACCTTTTCATTATTTCAAAAACTAATTACATTTTTAGGTTCTATATAAATTCCTATATTATACCATGATAGGTAACACTTATTTTAGTTATTCACTATCGTAGTAATTTTAATTTATTATTTAACCAAAAATTTGATTTAAGATTATACAGAATGATTCGCTAAGTATGCTCACTCCTCTTTAATAATAAATATATTCAAATTCTCATTTTTATTATTTTTGGATAAGAATTTCAAAAATCAAAATTCGAATAAACCAATTATTAAAGATAAAATTAGGGGAAGCATTTTATTAGTGAATCAGCCTGTGTATGACTCGAGTACTATAATATAATAAATATGATTAATTTTTTTAGCAAAATAAATTGGTTTATTTTCCTAGATTCATATTAAAGTATTTAACCTATATGTCATTAATTATAAGCTAATAATTGTGCTCTACATAAATATGTTTTTGCAATATGTTTTATTGCAAAAAAATATTCATTGTTTGGTCTTTTAGAAAGTATATACACTATAGCTTAAATATAAATAAAAATTGTTTACATTCATAAACATTTATAGTTTTAAGTTTGCAATGCTTTCAATTTATTTATTATTATTTATATATTTTTTTTTTAGTTTTTATGTTTACGCAACATAAAAACATTTCTGCAAGTATGCCAAGAAGTTTTCGATGTTAAAGAGTATGATATATTTGATCCAATTATATTGTTTGAACTATCTGATTTTTTCAAAGTTATTCGTACCTTATCAATTCTATCACAAACTCCGAAATTACAAAGACTTCATATACCGTACGTATATTGAATTGATTGTTATTTTTTATAAGTAAAATTGTTTTAAAAATGTGCTTTGGTTACAGTGGATTTATTGTTACTAAACCAAGAACATTATCGCAAGAAGACATATACAGAAACATAAACTCATTGTAATTTATAATATTTCATATATATTTTTAGTGATGGGTATTGTATTATGAAATATATTTTATTTTATTTGTTATTTGTTCAAAATCAAAATTTAGGTTTAAAGTTTATAAATGTTATAATTCCATACTGATCACCCGGGTTTGTTATAGTAAAAATCTTGCCACACATACACGTGTTCCTTACCTACCGTAACAACTTTACTATATCAACCCTACTAACCATAGTCCATAACTCCTACAATAGCCAATGGCCATAGTTGCCAGGCTCAAGTTAAAAAAAAAATCCCATACCATTTATGTAAATAAGTTATTTATCTAAAATGTTTGTTTGTTTATTTTACAAATACCCATTACTATAATTTTAATTACCTAATTAATTATCATTATTTTAAATGCATTTTAAAATTATATTTCAGAGACCTTGTATCTTCAAGAAGTGCTTTATTAGATTCTTTTCATGAAAATGAATACACCAGTTATGATACTCATATTCGAAATGAAGAAATTTATCATGATTTATGTGCAATTGACATTCGAACTTCACTATCTATTTCAGAGGTAAATTGTTAAATAGGTATTATTATATTTATTAGTTTTTTCTATGATAAAAATCCATCTGTATATTTTAATGACTATTTAATAATGATACAACATCATTCAAGAAAAGAAAAAAGTCACTGAAATTTATAATATGTTAAATTTGAATTCATTGCTTACGAAAATCGTTACATTTGAAAATGTCACTGTGTGTATAATAATAATATACGTTAACAGTTTCAAGTACCCACAAATCATATTTTTAAGGGGGACGGATTTTCCGACCGGACTAAGGCATCGGTTGCAACACGCACCATTGTCAGTTCGAAACCCGGTCACGGGCGGCACTTCTCTTCAGGCAGTCACAGTGTCTGGAGAGAGAGGCCGCCATCCCCCACCCGGGCATGGCAGATACCTAACAAGAAAATTGTGCCAAACAAACCAACACACGTGTTAAACCTACAGTACCCTCCCTCAGAATAAATATCCACCCAATGGCCTAAGTTGCCGCGGGTTAATTAATAACAAAAATTTTTTAAGTTACCTCAAAATAACTAAAATTGTTTTTTTTTTTGTTTAAATATCTAAATTCCTCCAAATTTGAACTTTAATTAAATATCTATAAGAAAAACTAAATTCACATATTATTAAAAAATGTTGTTACAATATAAACAGAAAAATTGTATTACATTTTAAAACCTTAGCTATAAAATTTTTAACCACAGTTGAAAATCAAAGTATGTTTACTGTCCTAAAGGTGAATACAAAAAAAAAACTCATCAATCCACTCAGAATCTAAAAAAAAAAGTTTCAAATAATATTTAATTGATTATTAAAACTAAAATGAAAACTTATATAATATTTAAAGACTTCAGGCTGTAGCATAAGTCATAAGTCATAACACAATGATAATTTAAATAAGTTAATACTTACAGATTAGTAACTAAGTAGTTGGATCAGGCGCTTCATTTAATATGAAGGGGACTGTGCTGGGTGGTAATTCACACCTATATTTTGTATAAAATCTTTTTTAGCTTGATAAAAATAAAAATAAATCGCCAAAATTACAAAATCCGTCAATGAGTCAATCTAGTTTTACTTTCCAAATACATTTAACACAATTAACCAACTGCCAAGATAAAATTTAAAACAGCAGTTTATATTTAAAATGTATAGTTATTTTTCTAAAAAACCACAATTCAGTAGAATCACTATTTCTGATTTCATGGGGCCAACACTAAGATATGCTAAAAACAGTTTCTTTGTTAATTGCTCATAAAAATCAGGTACATGAAAGCAATATGAATTTTGAATTTAAAAGAACCAAATTAGATAATTAACTTACCATTTAATTAATGGCTTTTCTAAAATTCTGACCATAGTTTATATTACAGTCATTACAATATTACACACAATTGTCTACCAGGTGCGGATCTAGACATTAAAAAAGGGAGGGGCCAACCAAAAAAATTTACTTCAACTATATAAAAGCATAGGTTTAAGTTTTTATAATGAATAATTCATCATACATGCATATTATAAAATAATAATAATAAGTAAGTTATTCTTAATAACAAACTTTAACAACAAAATTACCTTTTTATTGCATATATTATATAATTGCGTAGGCAAGAGTGAAATATTTTTAAGCACCTAAGGCCTATGGGAGGAGGGATTCAGCCCCTATGGTCTCCCCTCCTTGTATCCCAGTATACTTATTTGTTTTTTTTATTTGTCAAACATAATCATATGTGATTTATCTCTGATTATTTGTAAGTGTTAACAGGGGAAAAATTGTTTGAGAATAGGTTTAAGATAATATGGACATGTTAAAAATAAAGAAATAGATCATGAAATAGTTATGACAATTTAGAAGGAAGTTATAGCATAGGTAGCTAAAATAAAAGTTGTTTAGAATTATTAAAACTTCTGTAAATACACTTGTAGTGGATATAAATATTATGGGTACAGGGTAGTGAGAAGAGGGTATAGACAAAAATTTAATATTTACAGAATATAATTTGTTGCAGAATAAATGCAATAGTGGTTGTTGATTTATAATTATAATTGTATGATCAACTATATGCAGTATAATGTAA